TTAACTCCTTGTAGTCTCTGTAATTAACGATATTACTAATTAAAAACAATGCAGTATATTTATTATTGATTTGGAATTTACAGTTGTAACATTTATATTCACAGAATGACGCCATTCAAGAGTTGACGTCAATTGTGAAAACCACAGTGGACAACATGATGGAGAAGTACGACGACCTGCCCCTGTCCCTAGTTTAACCCCTGATACTTCAATGAAGCTTTTTACACACTTGATGTCAGTCGTTCCTCAAACAAAAGCTTGTGTTATTGGATGCTTGTTTGCTCAATATCGATTTTTTCAACCAACTTGTAGTTCATCTCATATGATTTCTTGTTCTTGACTTAACTATCACTTAACCAAACATTCCCTACAACATCAACTGCATGGAAGTTCCAGCAACTCTTCTCTCGGTGCGGTTCAGCAGATGACATGCGGGCTATTCCCACTATGACCCGATGGACGATAGGGCAATAGCTGATCTGAGTAAGGCTTCCTTACACTTGAAAGCAATACTTCTTTGTGACTTCCAATCATTTGCACATTAATTCAGCTTTGTCTCGGTAATGTATACAATATTTTTTGCCTTAACCTTCTTCCAGAAAGTGTCATTTCCTCCTTCATGGACTTCTACAGGGAACATGTGCCACAGGGAACAATACCAGTCAAGATGCACATGTTGGAGGTCCACGTTGTGCCTGTCATCCAACAGTGGGGATTTGGACTTGGCTTTATGGGGGAACAGGGCATCGAACAGGTGCATGCTCTGTTCAACAGCATCTCACGCACAACGTGTGGCATTGCAGACCCCGTGGCAAGGATTAGAGCTACACAGACCAACCACCTGATCGGTGTAAGCCCTGATCAAGCATGCGGATCCCAGAACCTGTACCCAGAAAGATTAATAACTTTGAGATGGAGAAGACTGCGCTTAACGTACTTGGGTTCAGCCAACCAGACGTGATGTACAATGTAATGAGTCAGCATGGCAACATAGAGCGTGGGCTCTCTTCAAGGTTCCTGCTGGCTATACCGAAGCCGGTATTTGGGAACTACCAGTCTCTGAAGGTCACGGAGGGTCTAGATTTGAGACACTGTAGGTGATATTGTTGCACATGTCAAAAATTTTCTTGACTATGCGGAAAAAAATTCCAGTTCTTTATGTGAAATATATTTTATTATTATTATTAACAACATACAGTCTTTTACTTATTTTCAGATTATACATGTTCTAAGCTTTCCAAAATGTGAGCTGAGGTCCCGCAATTTTACGTACAATTTCTGTATGCACTTCCAATTTGATGACGTCCTCTGAGGGTTAAGATCATATATGGTTTTTTTATATCCATTATTCTAATTGTAATTGTATTTCAAGTCTTCTAATTGTAATAGAATTATAATGGTATTTCATTTCTATCTACACTGTAATACACGGCGAACAACAAATTTACGTTCTCAATCTTATCAAGATCGCATATTGACAAAGTCTTGGCTGTATATAGGAATGCTTATTTTCTATTGTGTTGTTATTTACTAGTATCCGATTAAAAGCCCCCATGCAACGGGGGATGTGTATTTTGGGGAATAAACAAACAGCTTTACACACGTGTAATTGTGGAAATTGTCTCATTTTTATCCAAGCGCCCATGAATTTGCGAAGACTGAGTGTTAAGTCCACCAGCTCCACCCTGGTGTAAACTGGGCAGCAAGACCGGAAGTGACGTCACAGTAGGAACGCGGTTGTTTATATGCTTAGGTCACATTTCCAAACCAGGGCCCGGCCGGGCTGTTTGTATGAACGAAAAATTAACAATTCATGTCAAGAATATACAGAAAAAGTGCCCATGATTGTTACTAAGAACTTTTTGCGTTTTGTTGTCTTTCATATCGTATTTTTCGTTCCAAAAAGCTGCCCGGCCGGGCCCCGTGTAGGAATTGTGACCTCAGCATTAGCAGACGACAGGAACTGTCATGTAGTTTTTTCGTCAGCCCAATTTTTTTTCGTCAGTATCTTTGTTTATCTTTGTTGTTAGAGAAATATGGTGCGTAGATGTGTTACTTATGGCTGTTCTGGGACTACGAAATTAGGACTTAGCTTACATAGTTTTCCAAGCATCCCGAGGAGAAGGCGATTGTGGACCGCCGTATACGTAGTGACAACTGGACGGGAGGGGCAAAAGCGGAACTGTGTAGTCGGGACTTTTCCAGAGATCAGTTTGTTAGTGGTTTCGAGCCGAAGACAACATTGAAAGATAGGTTAAAGGGGCGATGTGACGATGTGGTCGGCCGACATACGTTCATGGCCGAAGATGAGGAACAGGCAATCGTCACCTACGCCAAGAATTTCGCGGAAAAGGGTTTCCCTTACCGTACGAGTTGTAAAGGCACTGGCGCACGAGATTGAAATGAAGTCGTCCCGCACACGAGGTGAACCTTCCAGGTTTAAGCAATCAAGACATTAAAAAAAAATGGTGGCGTATATTGAAAAAAAAAAAACCGTCATCAAGACCTTCCCTCAGTTGGATAAAGAGCGGGAGTCGTTATCTGGCCCTAGCGTTGTGTTTGAGAATTTTGAGCGCCTAGAAGAGGTCTTGACCATCCACTACTTAAAAACGTTGTGGGTGAAAAGGTAATTGTTGCTTGATCCAGCTTAACATTACGTAACTGTGGGTAGGTTGTTTTAAGTAGGTAAGTTGACAAGCTATTGTGGGTACGTTTATAGTTACATATACATTCTACTGACAGTGCATATACACTCTTAACATTCACTCTACATGATCCTGACTTTGACATGTGCAACATACTATATAGGACTAACATAATTGTGACAGCTGAATTTCTATTTATATGTCGAAAGGATATTATTGATAATTCATTTTTTTTAATTTTTTCTTTCAGGCTGATCCACAAAGAGCAGAGGAAATGGATCTCTATCATCCAAGACATGGGGTCCAGAGCAAGAGGGTGCGTCGGAAGCCACAGTGTGATGTACATGTGCCACCACTCAGTGAAGAAGAGACCGCTGCTGCTTTCTCACAGCTGAGGAGTCTGTGTCCTATACTGCTGGTGCTGTTTTTTTAAAGATGAGGAGGATACGGACACTGCATAAGAAGAAGAGTCAGATATTAACACATACACTCTCCCCCTGTGGTGTACAGGTCATGTCTGTCATCCACAGTCTCTGTAGACAGCATACTTGAGGATGTGCAGTGCACCACCGAGCAAATCGCAAACCTCACCAAAGCTACAGTGGGGCAGTCAGAGTCTCCTTTATGGCGTGAGCAACGCAAGGGCCGCGTGACCTCTACATCCATGCATGATGTGCTTCATGCCTAAAGTGCCACTGTAGTGCGGAAGGTCATGAAATATGACTATAAGGATTTAAGCCATGTAAGTTTTAAAATTAAAATTGGTACAGTGCACACTTGTAGGGGGCCATTTTTCCTAGATAATTAAGGCACAGACACAAAGAGACATTACCCTGTATACTTGGTTCCAGATCACTACAGAGCATCTGTGGCTCTAATCATTAGTTGGCCTTAAGAATGCCATGTGTCTTGATGTTAGGGTGCTATTTCTGCCAAGTCTTAAAGTCTAAATGTTTAGTTCCAATTCCTAACTGAGGTCTCCAATATTTGTGTATTGCAAGTAGTCCAAGTAGTCTTCGGAGGATAAAATAAACATCTAAACATTGAAAATAAACCCCCAAACTTACATCCCCGGCCATAGAAGATATGATTTCGTCTATGTTGTTTGATGATTGCTCAATGTCTTCTTCCAGCAGCCAGGTAAAATAAATATAACGGTTTAGAGGTTCAGATCATTCTCAGTGGGGTGCCATCGTTTTTAACATATACATGTCTTTAAACGTTAGTACCAACGACGGCTAACAAAGAGAAGAATCCAGAGGATCTTGAACTCTATGAGTATGATATGAAGAAGAGGTACAAGACTTGGAGGCGAAGATAAACACAGTACTGAAGATGAAAAAAAAAAAAATCAGTGAATCCATTTCCCACATGCAGTACCAAGCCATGGAGAAGGGTGTTAAAAAGATGAGTCTGGGCAGTGATGAGATGTCCCTGTAAGGAATTTTTTGCAATAATAATTCTGGAATTATTGGTCTTAGAAGTTAAATATTTTGTGCCTTTTTCGGCATTAGAAACAATTAAACTTTGAAATTAGAAAAAAAAATGTCCGACTCAAATCTCAATTTTGTTATAATGTTTTATAAAATGCATCAACTGAGAATTTTCTAGGGAATCCAGGGCCGGTTTAAATAAGTTGTTTCGATAGTATCGACATGTTTTAAAATAAGCATGTAACGCGCTTAATGCTGATTTTACACATATTTCAGCGCTGTAAACAAAACAACATTTGAGGTATATCCAGTGCGGATTCTATCACATTTGGACAAAAGAGTGACTGTAAAAGTGTTTATTTTTTATTTTTAAGAAAATATTTACCGTTGAGACAGGCTCCGAGGAAGCCGCGCGCGGAACTCCGGTAACCTGATAGCTCTCCCCGAATTTCAAAATTTATCCTAGAATCTGCTTATATAATAAGGGAGTCAACACCCTGGCACAGTACAGCTCCATCCTTGCGCGTACCTCACTTCCCTCACGGATGCGATCTACAATAATCTGTAGAGATGCAAAGAAAGTCTCCAATATGTCAAATCAGTTTGACATCTTATTTTAGAACAAGCTAAGAAGGTATAGGTTAATTATAAACAACCTGAGATACACTATTTTTGTCTTCTGCAGCAGTGTCACCTGGCACAACGCCATCCCCGAGAGGGGAATCTGGATAAAGATCGGGGGTGACCATGGAGGAGGGTCGTTTAAGATGACCTACAAACTTCTGAACAAAGAACACCCCAACTCCAAACACTAACACAGCGCGAACGTGTGTCGTGTTCTCTGTCTTTTGTGCCAAAGACAGAACTTGAATCTAGCAACCGGTCGCTTCTCCCAAAAAGTGACAGCTCTTTAGCGATCAAAATGGATGTAAGTTGACATATCACTTTGACAGGTAATAACAATCAAAATCATTTAAGACATGTCTAATGGTAACAGTTCCTTGCAGGTTCATAAAATTCTAATTTGCATTACAGGACTGGTGCAACAATGGTGAGTTTCAGCTGCGCATATTTGCTGCAGGGGACTATGCCTTCCTGTGCACATGGTATGGGCTGCATGTGGTAAGTACACAATCATCACTCATCAAAGCACTGTGTCGGGCTCGCTCGGAGTCATCTCCTGGCTATCTGGTTTTCATATATTTATCTCTGTCCTTCATCGGCTATTGGTTTAGGTTCATTCCACTGTCAGCTTGCAAAACTGATACCTGCAAACCCTGGTATCAGCGAGCTAGACAACCGGGACGAGATCAAGGCTGACCAAGAGCGCGAGCCATAACAGCGCTATATCGACGCAAAAAGAAAAAAAAAAAACGTGTACCGCATGGAGGCTGACGAAATGGACAGAACGATTGAAGAGCAGAAAGAAGAGCCTTCCCGGCATACCAGAACCAACAGGTCGAGGATGAGATGGCGGAAGTGGTGTTTGTGGAGGCGACATCCATGATCTCTGATCTTGTTCGAAGAAGAGATATACCTTTTAAGATTTCTAGTCAAAATGAAAGAGAAAGACGATTTTAAACAACAAAAAAAGAAAATCCGCAACAAAAATGATGGGAAGGTTGGAGGCACTGGAAAGAAAAGGGTAGTGGAAGAAGGGCAAGGCCCTTGCCAGTGGAGTTGAGAAGCCTTCTCTTACGAACGATAAGGACATTTTGTCGCTGTAATATTTTGTGATGTCTTACCGATATTTAAAAAAAATGAATATTACAGTGAAATATAACCATTTTGGCATCATAAACCACAGGTGTAACCCAAACGTATATATTATTACAATGTTCTGCATGCTTGATTAATTAATAAGTAGAAGTGCTTGGTGGTTGCTTATGAAATCTGTGATCTAGCATCATGTTACCCTTTAAAGCCCCTATGTAACAAGGGATGTGCATTTTGGGGAATAAACAGCTTTCCACACATGTAATTGTAGAAATTGCCTCATTTTTATCCAAGCGCCCATGAATTTGCGAAAACTAAGTGTTAAATCCACCAGCTCTACTCTAGTGCAAACTCGGCAGTGAGACCGGAAGTGACGTCACAGTAGGAACGCGAGCGTCATAGTTTAGCAGACGACAGGAACTGTCATGTAGTTTTTTTGTCAGCCCAAGTTTTTTCGTCAGTATCTTTGTTTATCTTTGTTATTATAGAAATATGGTGCGTAGATGTGTAGCTTATGGTTGTTCTGGGACTACGAAATTAGGACTTAGTTTGCATAGTTTTCCAAGTAGCCCGCGGAGAAGGCGATTGTGGACCCAGTACGTACAGCGCCGTAGAAACAACTGGACGGGAGGGGCGAAAGCCGAACTGTGCAGTCGTCATTTTTCCAGCGACCAGTTTGTCGGCGGACTCGAGCGGGAATTCGGAATACGTAAACGCGTTCAGTTGAAGCCCACAGCCGTGCCGGATGTACATGCGTTTGACGAAGGACCGGCTGAGAGTGGGGCGTCGTCTGCTGTAAGCGGCTCACGTACGGCGTTCGAAAAACGCAGACGACAACAGGTAACGTTCTGTGAATACTCTTGTGACACAACATAAACTCTTGGCAGATCAGGAGTGACGATATAGATGTAGATATCTTCAGAATTAGGAGCCGCCTCGTTTACTTTCCGCTTTAGCTAACGTATTATTATGGGCGTGGGGTGGGAGGGGGGCGCCGGCGAAAATACGTAAACATACATAGCTTGTACGCGGCTCTTCCACAAGTCACGCAGGCCCCTTTTGCAGTGAGTTTTTAAAATATATAGTGCTGGACTTCGATATTTATGTACCGTACATATCTGTAGCGTCAGTCTTTATATCTCTTGCTGGACTCTTACTAGTAAATTGTTTGACATGTATCATATAAATTGCCGTACAATGCAAATACATGTAGTACATTTACCTTTCACACAGATCATTGCAGACCTGTTGGAACAAAGTGTACAGGTATGTTGTATTGGTTTTGTTTAGATACTTTAAATTGTAATTTTTAATTGTTACAAAGTAGAAAAGAAAAACTGTCAAGGAACAATGGACAAGTAAGCAAGAAATAATTTTATTTATTTTTGTAACAATATAAGCTTATGTAACAATATAAGCTTATACATTGAAACATTAGTCACAATGTGCTGTGTGGTAACTATTGACCAAGTTTTTAAAAACACTGTTTCTGTTTCATTTAGGATCAGAATCTCTCAGAAGACAAGGTTGATATTGAGGTATGTTACTTGAAATGATAAATACTTTGTGATGAAAACTCTCTCCTATACTAAATGTCAGATATAATTGAACTTCTTCTAAGAGTTACAAGATTTTTGAATCTGAGGGGTGCACTGTTTTGTTTGACTCTTTTGACACAATCTATTCTTTCATCCTGAAAATTATGTGGTAAACCTAATGTAAATTAAACAATCCTCAGGTTGTAGCTGAGCTGAAAAACAGTGTGGGCACACAGACAAAGTCATCAGGCAGACACAGAGGTAAAGATGGTGTGATGCTCAAGTGTTTTGTAACACAGTTACTGTAAAATGTTTCATGCATTACAGCTGTATCAAGAGTTTTGCAACATTCCTTTCCATTGTACATCTTTTTCAAAAGTTTATCTGTATACAATCAGCATTAAGGCACATATTATTTCCACTTATGACAATGATGGTTTTGTTTTGAAATAGACATTTTATACAATTATGTATGTAATTTTGAAATACTATGAAGAATTGACAGTGCTAATACATGTATTTCAAAGTCATTTTGCTTGTTATTCTTCAGCAACACAGGTCACTCCTGCTCGCGCTGACGCAGGGGTCCAGTGCACACTCCTCGCCCCACCCCCGGAGAATGAGGACACCGATTCGGAGCCGGAGTCTGAGGAAGAGGAGGATGACGATGATGATGAGGACTACTTTCCCTCAGAGGAGGAGCTGTCAGACACTGATAGGTCAGAAGCAATTGCAACATATTCCTTCATTTGTTCAAATAGCCTCTTTTATCACAGTATCATAACAGTAAAACACATTTGTTGAAATCCCTAATGTGGCATCACAGCTTTACATGTATGTGCAAACCAATTTTTTTTCAATCTTTACCTAGTGATGACTTAGAGACAGAAGAGATTCATCTGCCAGATGAGTCAGTACCACCCCAGGAGGAGAGAAAGTACCTTGTCTTCCATTCAGCTCTTCTGCAGCTTTTCTCTCTCTGCCTACTCTGTGGTAGTGGAAAGCAGAAGCTTCGCCTCGAGACCATTGGGTCCTTCCTGTCCATCACACAGATTTGTACCTTGTGCGAACATGTGAGGACATGGAGCAGCCAGCCATTCATACGCAACACACCAGCTGGGAACTTGCTGATCTCTGCAGCAGTTCTTTTTGCAGGTATTGAATTACTTCCTGTCAATCATGTCTAAAGTCATATAAACTGAACCTTTAAAGCCACATTGCAAGGAGGTTTACAGATGAGTTAATGTTAATTTGTGTATAAGTACATACTGTCCCATTATTATTATTATTATTATT